TCTATCGCCAGGCTGGAGGGCAGTGGCGGATCCCAGCTCACTGCAACTTCTGTTTTCTGGTTTCGAGGAATTCCCCTGCCTCAGCCTCCCGAGTAGCTGGGACTGCAGGCGCCCACCACCATGCCCGGCTAATTTTTTGTACTTTTAGTAGAGACGGGGTTTCACTATGTTGGCCAGGATGGTCTCGATCTCTTGACCCTGTGATCCACCCGCCTCAGCCTCCCAAAGTGCTGGGATTACAGGCTTTGAGCCACTGCGCCCGGCCAGATTTTCTGCTTTTTTGGATTCAAGATTCTCTTTCTTGGCCCCCATTCAGTTTGGCTGAAGTCAGAGAAAAGGAATCCCTAGGAGGGCTACTCACCCACAGCTTGGTAGTAAGCCATGAAGCCCTTGTAGAACATGATGGTCCCATTCTCCTCATTGGAGAAGTCCGTGTGGAAGGTCAGCAGCATCTTGTTCCCTTGCGACATAAATTCCTTCTTTCCCGGGGGGTTGCCCGGTGGAGAACCCAGTTGCCCGCAGAACCTCCCCAGGTTTTTCTTATCAGCAGAGATCTGGTGGAGGGAGGACAGGGGTAGAAGGAGACCTGTTGGGGAGTGGCACTCCATGTGGTGGCTCAGTGACGGTCCTCCCTGTCTCGAATTTTTAGGGCCTGCAGAGTAAATCATGCACCACAACAGCTCCGACTCGGTCGCTACCTGCTGGGCTCGGCTGCTGCCGCCTTCCCCATGTGACTTTCAACTGTTGCCTGAGTCTCCCACTAACTCACTCTTGGCGTGCTGTCCTGCACTGGGTACCTCGCCCCTTCCCTGTTTTCTGCTCCTCTGGCAGGTTTCAGCTCCTTCTCCATCCCCACCACCTCCTGTGGCCTGTTCCCCTGGGGTCCTGGTTGTCTCTACCCAGCCTTTACTTACCCTCCCCTCATTCCCAGAGCCTGGACTGGAGACAGCTCTGCTTTTTTTTTCTGCTTTCCATTTCTCCCTCGGTCTAATCAAACCATTCGTACTTCAAGTGCTTTCTGACGCCCTTGGCTGAACACGGGCCCCGAAGCCCACCAGTCTCAGCATCAGCCGTGTCGCCTAGTCCCTCATCTTTCCTCCTCACAGCCTCCTCAACCTCTCCCTGCCCTGCCACCAAACGCCCTCCCCCAACACTGCACACGTGCCAAGTCCTCTGGGTGGGGAAGATGCGCCATTTTCCCGTTATTTGTGCATAACTTCCAGGGGTCTCCTGGGAATGGTTTGGACCTTTGCAGGCTCTGCTTGAGCCCTGAATCTCATTTTTACTGGATATAGAAAGACGGGCCCTGGAAGGTACCCTTGGTTGTCACAGAGGTGAGGGTTCTGAGCCCGATGTCCTTGCTGAAGGCTACTCCTGTGTTGCCAGAGCACACATTTCTCCTCCTCACGTCCCTGTTCCTGCTGAGGCGGGCAGCCACGGCGATCTTCTCCTTGGAGACAAGGGAGCTGAGACAGAGTGGTTTCCCAAAGACTCTCAGCTGGATGGCAGAAGGGGAAGGTTTTCCTGACTCCTGCATGGGTCCTGTGCCCCTCTTCTCTGTGCTTCGCCCTTCAGTGCTCACCTCTACACTAGTGGGTGTCGCATCCATGGCATCCCCTGGCTCTCAGAGATGCGGTCAGCCACCAGCTCTTGCAGGGCTGGGCTGTGTCGGGGGTGTGCATGCCATGCAGAGTGATCCCAGATCCCAGAGGGCCCCGCTTTGTCTCGCCTCTGCCCACCCACCCTGCCCCTACCTTGACATAGTCATAGAAGCAGCCTTCAGAAGGCTCCAGGTCAAACTGCCAGAAGACGAGCTTCACCCTGTATCCCGTGGGGACTGTGATCACAGTGGTCGTTTCAAAGTTGTTAGGGTAAGGCTTGGGGAACAGAGGGGAAGTCACCTCCCCAAAGAACTTCTGAGGGATGTGAATGGAGCCTCCTGCCCTGCAGAACAGGGCCGGCACCAGGAGGTACCAGAGCCACCTGCCAAAACAAAAGAGAGCGTCTGGAGCTGGAGGGGTTCAGCACTCTTGCCATGTGGGCAGCGGCCGTGGCAGAGGATGAGATGGTCATACCGCTGGGCATTCTCCTCTCTGCCCATTCTGGACCTCACAGGCATGTTCTCTGCAGGGGCGGGTGGTGGGGGGAGGGCAGCCTCTGCAGCTGCTGTATCAGTGTCCCTCCCCAGGGCAGTGTCCAGTCCAGAGGCCACCCCACTCCCCTCATACTCCCTCCCCAGCCTCCTCCCCTGCCTGGCCACATCCCTCCCCTCCCCTTCCAGGAATAGGACTGGCTTGAGGCCAGTTAATGAGGGGTGAGGGTTTCCAGTCATGGCTCTCTGAAAGGGGTCCCAAAGGCTCAGCAAGAGTGTCCGGGAGAAGCCATCGGTGGAGTGTGGGGTACATGCACAGGGGGTTCCCTACTGGCTAGGCGGTCCCCTCCTCTAGCTGCTCCCTGCCATGAGCCCGGAGGGAAGAAAGGGCGATGGCATGAGCCTCTATGCACAAGGTCGTTAGGAGGAGGGATGGGCGTGTTTTGTGTGTGTCCACGCGTGTGCACAGTGGGACTGACGAGGCGTGTGGGGAGGGAAGGGTGTTCCTGTCTCCCTGAATTGCCTCCCATGCCCTGGCTTCTCCCCTGGCTTCTCCTTCCCACCTGGGTGCCCATCACCCTTACTCACATGTCTCAAGGCCGATGTGGAGTCCTGGGCTCTTCCGACAGCCTCTTCATGCACTGTGTGCAGAGGGAGGCCGTGGTTGTGCGCAGCAGGGATGGGAGGGTTTTCTGTGGAGTGGAGGGGGGGACCATTCCCGGAGGAATGCTGGAGGGAATGAACTATTTGCATAAACAAAAGATCTGAGTTTCCACTTTAATTTAGTTTTGGTTTTGAAATCCCTGTTGGTGGTGCCACCTGCTGGTCCATATGGGGAAGGGCTAAGGAGACGGGAGTCTTTTTTATTTTATTTTATTTTATTTTATTAATTAATTTATTTTTTAAGATGGGGTTTCACCATGATGGCCAGGCTGGTCTTGAACTCCTGACCTCAGGTGATCCACCCACCTTGGCCTCCCAAAGTGCTAGGATTACAGGCGTGAGCCACCGCGCCCGGCTGAATTTTTAGGGCCGGCTAGCTCAGAGTTGGAGGCCCAGACGCCTCAGCCTCTAAATCTGATTAGCTTCTCCTTTCCTTCAAGACTTTCCTCGCGGAGGGCTGCTGCTGTGTTTACAAGGTTTCTACCGAAGCAGTGGGAGACCCCAGGTTGTGGGGGATTCTCTTTTCTGGACTGTTCTTTTCCTCTGTCCTGGTTCTTCCTGCCCTCATTCAGCCCACAGCCCTGGTCCAAGAATGGCTCGGGTTTCCCTGACCAGGAGGAAGCCCCAGGAACACTGGGGCAGAGGAGGGTACGTGGGAGCGGGCAGAGGAGAGTGGAGCTTGGTTGCCTTGGGGCCCTGGCCTGCTTTAGCCGTGAATGACATTTGGACATAGAATAGGGATGGCCATGTCAGGGCAACCCTAAAGCAGCCCTGGGTTTGAGACCCTCTGGGGCAGCTGTGGAGGGAGTAAAATGACCCCTTCTCCTCAGCATCTGCTCAACACAACTGCCAGGGCTGCGGCTGTGGAGCAAGAGGGACTTGGTTTTTCTGAGATGAAGCCAGGCCCCTGGGAGGGAGGAGGGGCCCTCTTCGCTTCTGTCCATCAGGCCATAGTGTCCTGCTTTAAAATTGTGCTCTTGGCCGGGTGTGGTGGCTCATGCCTGTGATCCTGGCACTTTGTGAGGCCAGGGTGGGAAGATCTCTTGAGTTCGAGACCCGCCTGGGTAACATAGCGAGACCTCATCTTTAAACATTAAAATAAATAAAAAACAATGTTACTGTTTTTGGCAGCTTTTCTTCATCAGGTCTCCACGGCACCAGCTATCCGAAGGCACTTCATCACACGGGGGGCTCGGGCCGCAACGCAGGTCCCTGCGTTCTCAAGCCTTTGTAAGCGGTTCTGCTTGTTTCCCTCATGAGATCAATCCCTCCAACCTCCACCCTTCTGCCCCCACCTCCATTTATCCATTTATGGGCTACCTGTTTAACGTGCAAGGCACTTTCCCGGGCAATAGATTGCAAGAATTCACAGAGCTGATGCAGTTCCCCATCAGGCAGCGACCAAGTCGTCAGTAGTTAGACAGCAGGCATGCAGAAGGTGCAAGATCAACCAAAGCTTGGAGGGTTTCTCCGGCAGGCCTGTGTGTCAGAGCTGAGCACTGACCCAGATGGAGGGCTGATCTGGGACCAGACCAGGGTGTGATCCATAGCCTTGTTAGGTCAGAAAAGACAAAAGATAGCGGAGAAGGAAAAGGACCAGATGAGGGGACGAGAAGGAAGAGGCATCTCGTCTAGCAAACTGCACATTAATATCCTAGCAGTGTGTGTGTGTGTGTGTGCATGCGTGTGCACACACTACATGTTCACAATGGGGGCAGAGGGAACAGGGAAGGAGGTAGTCTCAGCTGAAGCTCTTTCGACCATCCTAAGGATTCTCAGTTCTGACTTGGCATTGTGCAGCAATGCTTGGAGCACGGCAAACCTGGACGTCATTAGCTCAGTCCCAGCCCTGTCCCCACTCTGCCCAACCACTGAAAATAACCTTTACTCACGAATTTTTGTTATGTCCTTGGCTTATACAAAGAAGGAAAATAACGCCACATGGATGTCGCTGCATTTGTTTTAAAACAAGTATTGAGGACATTGTCTGTTACGGTGTTTGCTCCTTTTAGGATTTGATTCTTGGGAAAAAGAAGTTTCTCTCTTAAAGTAGCAGTAGGTTTTCCTCTGTGGATATGTCTCTATCTCCAGCTCATCTGTCTCTATCAGCTCTATCTGTAACCTGCCTCTACCTCTGTATCTCCAGCTCCAAGTCTATATCTCTATCTCTAGACCTAGAGACGGTGGCGAAGATGTAGAGATACACATCTAGACATACACGTATAAATATAGGTATATATATATATATATATATATATATATATATATTGCCTTGGCAAGGAGAAACTCATCATTTTTTCAATCATAAAAATAAGTAAAATAGAATAAGAATGTTTCATGCTCATTAAACAAAATTTAGCAAATAGAGAATAGTGGAAAACCAAACGGCCAAAATCTTATCAACTAAAACTACCTCTGTTGAGTATTTTGACAGTATTATTATATTTTTGGAGATGGGGTTTCACTATGTTGCTTAGGCTGGCCTTGAGCTCCTGGGCTCAAATGATCCTCCTGCATCGGCCTCCTGAGTGGTTGGGACTATAGGTGTGCATCACTGTACCCACCTTTTGGGAATATTTTTAATAATCTTTTGTACTGTGTTTAGGTGTAAAACACACAAGTAACCACATGTAGCTACAACCTTGAATCCTGCTATTTTTTTTAAGAGATAAATTTAACCTGTGACCATACAGCAACTTGACTCTTGATGCTAACAAATTATCTCTCTTCTCTCTTTTATGGTATTTATTTTCTATGTCCATTGAACAGTTGTATTTTATTTGTGTCTTTCACTTTAAATCACCTCCAATATTTTTTTTTTTTTTTTTTTTTTTTTTTTTTTTAGATGGAGTCTTGCTCTGTCACCAGGCTGGAGTGCAGTGGTACCATCTTAGCTCACTGCAACCTCCGCCTCCTGAGTTCAAGCCATTCTCCTGCCTCAGCCTCCTGAGTAGCTGAAACTACAGGTGCACACTACCATGCCCAGCTAATTTTTGTATTTTTAATAGATACAGGGTTTCACCATGTTGGCCAGGATGGTGTTGATCTCATGACCTTGTGATCCGCCCGCTTTGGCCTCCCAAAGTGCTGGGATTACAGGCGTGAGCCACCGCGCCCGGCCCATCACCTCCGATGTGTACTAAAAATGAAAGAGTTGGTCCTCTCAGGTGGAACAGTTCTCTTGATGATGGGGGCACAGATGGGGTGTCCGCAGGAACTTCAGTCCAGTGCTGGGCTCATGTGGCTTCTGCAGGAGATGGGGCTAGCAGGAAAGGGTGAGCCAGAGGATGCCATTTTTACAGAAGCAGGAATTCCCAGGGAGGGACAATGGTAAGGATGTGGGGACTGGGAGGCAGAGCGGGTGGCACAGCAGATCTGAGGAGAGCTAAGTATCGCGGCACACTGGGAAGAGCAGCCTCTGCAGTCACACACCAGCTGTGGGACCCAGGAAAGTCCCTTTATCCCCAGAGGCTCAGTTTCCTCTTTTGTCAAGCATGGCTGATAACCCATCCTTTGCCAATATGGTATGAGGATTATGTGAAATAGCAGGTGAAGCATCTGGCATACAGAGGACATAAAATTTAAAAAGGAACTATTTCTGTAATTGCATCTTGGAGCTGTGGAAGGTGGTGAAGCCAACAGCTTGACTATGTGAAGGTCAGCTAAAGGGTCTCAGGAATGTTTCAGAAATAAAATGCAATGAAAACCCCTTTCTCCATACTCAGCGGGTGAGACGGTGACTCTTCCAGAGGTGAGTATAAAAGCTGTGTCAACAGATGAAGAAGAGGAAGGGGATGCCAAGGACATTCAAGGTGAAAGTTGCTGAGACGCACAGGGCTTCCGTGGGCATAGTGCGAGCGGACAGGGAGGTAGCGGGTGAGGAGCAGCGGTCTGTGGGACCGTGCTTCCTGTCCGGATGGTGCAGGCTTGCAGGGTGGGGGTTTCTCTTGCACTGGGGCTTGCTGCATCAGTGATGTGAATAGGATTTCCCTGCCTCCCACCACTTCCGGCCCCTGCCGCAGGGTTCAGTCCTCACTCCTGGCCCTCTCTTGACTGAGGCCTCCGCTGTGCTGGCCCGTCCCTGCTCAAGTGCACCACGGTCAGTTCTTGCCATTCATCACCCCCTTGATCCAGTCCACATAGCTGAGCACTTTGGTGTAGAAGTCGTACCCCTTGCCACACCCTATGCCCCAGGACACAATGCCCGTGGCTACCCAGTGATGGGCACGATCGTCCCATACCACATAGACGCTACCACTGTCCCCCTGACAGACACTGTGCCTCTGCGTCTCGTCCCCAACACAGAACATACTGTCAGAAAACACCTCGGGCCTCTGTCTCTTTTGGAGCCAGGCCTTGCAGGTCTCCCTGGGAGCTACAGGCAGCCTTGAGTATTTCAGCTCAGTAGTTAGCCAGCCCATCTCCATGCCAAACCCACTGACGTAGCCCGACACGCCGCTGTGGTAGAGGGTCTCCTTGTCAGGCAGGCAGACCGGGAGGACGTTGGGGCCCAGCGGGACGCTGTGCTGCAGCTCCAGGAGGGCGATGTCCCCGTTGAAGTTGTGGGACTCGTTGTGATGGTAGTCGGGGTGCACAATGACACGGTGCACAGGGTGGTTCCCCAGTTTCAGCATCTCATCTATGGATGTGTGGCCCAGGAACACATTCACACTCCGGTTCTTCCTGGGAGAAGCACTGTCCTTGGGGTAGATGGTGTGGGCAGCAGTGAGGATCCATCTGTCGCCCAGTAGGGCGCCGCCCCCACGGCCATGGATACTGGTGAACGCTTGCCAGGGAAAGTTGCCCAGCTTAGCTCTGGAAGAACCGAGGGTTGTCTGATTCTGGTCAATGGGGGTGACTGGCCGTCCACAGACTGGGAGAGAGGAGGGGCAGGGGTGACAGTCAGTAGCTGCATCTAGGCACACTGATTAAAGACCCACTTCTCTGAAGCTGTGGTAGAGGATGTGTGAAGAGGCTCCAGGTGTGGCTCTGCATGGGATCAGGACTCTTTTTTTTTTTTTTTGAGACTGATTCTCACTCTTGTTGCCCAGACTAAAGTGCAGTGGTGTGATCTCAGCTCACCACAACTTCTGCCTCCCGGGCTTAAGCGATTCTCCTGCCTCAGCCTCCTGAGTAGCTGGGATTACAGGCACGCGCTACCATGCCCAGCTAATTTTTTTTTGTATTCTTAGTAGAGATGGGGTTTCACTATGTTGGCCAGACTGGTCTCGAACTCCTGCACTCAGGTGATCCACCCACCTCAGCCTCCCAAGGTGCTGGGATTACAGGTGTGAGCCACCGCACCTGGGTGAGATCAGGACTCTTATACTGGGGCCGACTCACAGTGTAGACCATGTGGGCAGACAAGGGCAAGGAATCAATGCCAACTGTATGGGGCACCCATCCTGCATGGGACTTGGGACAGTGGACTGAGGGTAGAGAGCACCGATGAGCACACGTTTGGTGGTGGTTCTGCAGGGCTCTCCTTCCTGCCTCCTCAGAGGCATTAAAGGGGTTCCTTCGGACCATCCTGGGCCCCCATACTACAGGGAGAGTCTGTTTCAGTGCTTCCTGCCTAGTTTTGCATCACTTCCTCATTTGTAACATCTCCCACTACCATCTGCCCTTCAACCCATCCCCAAAGCACTACAAGCCTTCAGGCGAACCCTAGAGATTTCCATGGATCAGGTTGGGTTAGGAAGGCAATGGTTTCATTCAAAAGCGTGGATCTCAAAAATGGTGGATTTGAAGCCTCAGGTATTGCTGGTGAGATGTGAAATGGTAAAATGGTGCTGCCACTGTTGAAGACAGTTTGGTGGTTCCTCAAAAAGTTAAACAGAATTATTACACAATCCAGCAGGTCTACTCCTAGGTATATACTCAATAGATTTGGAAATGTATGTTGATACAAAAACTTGTGCACAAATGCACATAGGAGCATCATTTGTAATCGCCACGAAGTAGAAACAGCCTAAATGTCCATCAGTTGATGAATGGACATTCAAAATGGTACATCCATAGGAAGGAATATTATATAGCCGTAAAAATGATACTTCAGCTTGCTGGGCTCTTTCTCCTTTCCTAGTCCACCTCATTAACTTCCTTCATGCTTTCCTCAGATATATCTTGACCCCTGAAGAATGAGGAACGAGCTCCCTGCCTCTTCTTTTCTGGGCCTTCTCGATTACCCCATTCTTCCTCACCTTCTGCTTCTTTTTTTTTTTTTTCATTTTTTCTTTTCTTTTCTTTTTTTTTTTTTTTTTTTGAGACGGAGTTTCGCTCTTGTTACCCAGGCTGGAGTGCAATGGCGCAATCTCGGCTCACCGCAACCTCCGCCTCCTGGGTTCAGGCAATTCTCCTGCCTCAGCCTCCTGAGTAGCTGGGATTACAGGCACGTGCCACCATGCCCAGCTAATTTTTTGTATCTTTAGTAGAGACGGGGTTTCACCATGTTGACCAGGATGGTCTCGATCTCTTGACCTCGTGATCCACCCGCCTCGGCCTCCCAAAGTGCTGGGATTACAGGCTTGAGCCACCGCGCCCGGCCACCTTCTGCTTCTTATCTTCCTTTCTATTCTAAGGCTTCCCTTTAACCTGTGTGTCCTGTAGGTCCCAGTTGCAGCTGAGACTTGGGGTGCTGGCAGGTGGCTACTCACCAGGCATACACTGAAGAACCTCCTCCCCATCCTGTGTGTCCTTCCGGGTCCCTGGGGTGGTGTTGCTGAGTGCCCCTGAGGCGCGAAATGAGGAGAGCAAAGAAATAGGCTCAGAGTTGAAGCTGTTGGTTAACAAAGTAGGTGCTCAGTGGGTGTCTGGGCGGCAGTGAGTGATGGAAGCTCCCCCTTGGCAGGTGCGGCTCACCTGCTGCCGTGGTCTGGTAATAGGGCTCCTGGCAGTGGTTCTGGACCTTGGCGGGGTTGTCTCCAGGTGTGTTGATGGCTTCAGAACTCCTGCTGGCCTGGCTGATGGGCTGACTGCAGTTCGAAGCTATAGGAAAACAGCACCCAGCACAGACTTGCAAAATGGCAACCCAGGGGCTGAATCTGGCCCATGGCTATATTTGGTTTGACTTGCATAGTGTTTTTGTTTGTTTGTTTGTTTGTTTTTGGAGACGGAGTTTCGCTCGTTACCCAGGCTGGCGTGCAATGGTGCGATCTCGGCTCACCATAACCTCCGCCTCCTGGGTTCAGGCAATTCTCCTGCCTCAGCCTCCTGAGTAGCTGGGATTACAGTCACGCGCCACCATGCCCAGCTAATTTTTTGTAATTTTAGTAGAGACGGGGTTTCACCATGTTGACCAGGATGGTCTCGATCTCTTGACCTTGTGATCCACCCGCCTTGGCCTCCCAAAGTGCTGGGATTACAGGCGTGAGCCACCGCGCCTGGCTTTTTAAAATTTTTTTTATTTTTTTAACATTTGAGCTAATTTTCACTGATCAGATTGTCAATACTCAGAGAGTTTGAAGGTAACTGTGACAAGCAGGGTATGGGAAACAGGCGCTTCCAAACATGGTTAGTAGGTGTGTAAATTAGCAAAACATTTTTGGAGAAAATTTTAGCAATATCAAAATTTTAAATGCAATTTTTTTTTGAGATGTTTTGCTCTTGTTGCCCAGGCTGGAGTGCAGTGGCACGATCTCAGCTCACTACAACCTCCGCCTCCCAGGTTCAAGCGATTCTCCTGCCTCTGCCTCTCAAGTAGTTGGGATTACAGGCATGCACCACCATACCCGGCTAATTTTGTATTTTTAGTAGAGACAGGGTTTCGCCATGTTGGACAGGCTGGTTTCGAACTCCTGACCTCAAGTGATCCACCCACCTTGGCTTTCCAAAGTGCTGGGATTACAGGCATGAGCCACTATGCCCAGCTGAAAATGCAAATATTTTTTAACTTACTACTCCATTTCTAAAAATTTAGCCTAAAGATATTCTCACACATGCTCAAAGATGTAAATGCAAGGGTATGCACAGTAGACCGTGTGTGGCAGCAAAGTATTTATCAGGAGGGCTGATCAAATACATTATGAAACATCAATCAAAGGGATGTTATATGATCATTAAAAATAATGAGTTTGCCGGGCGCGGTAGCTCACGCCTGTAATCCCAGCACTTTGGGAGGCCGAGGCAGGCAGATCACCTGAGGTCAAGAGTTTGAGACCAGCCTGGCCAACATGGTGAAACCACGTCTTTACTAACAATGCAAAAGTTAGCCCGGTGTAGTGGCATGCCTATAATCTCAGCTTCTCAGGAGGCTGAGGCAAGAGAATCGCTTGAACCCAGGAGGCGGAGGTTGCCGTGAGCAGAGACTGAGCCACTGAATGCCAGCCTGGGTGACAGAGGGAGACTCAGTCTCTAATAATAATAATAATAATAATAATAATAATAATAATAATGTTAATGCTGACCATATGGAATGGATGATCTTTAAGATATATTATTCAGTGAAAAAATGCCAAGTTTAGAACACTTGTAATACAGACACACACAATTTATCCTCTTCCTAGGAAGAATACCTAGGAAATGGAGAACACAGTTGTTTCTGGGGAGGGCAGCCAGGAGTTCAGAGCCAGAGACCAGAGGATGACTTAGTTTTTAGCATACTAAAAAATGACATTTTATCATGTGCCCCTCCCTCCTTCCCTCCCTCCCTCCCTTCCTTCCTTCCCTACCTTCCTTCTTTTACTTTCTCTTCTTCCTTTCTTGCCTTCCTTCCTTCCTTCTCTTCCCCCCCCTTCCTTCCCTCCCTCTCTCCCTCCCTTCCTCTCTCTTTCCTCTCTTTGCTTTCTTCTTGTCTCACTTTGCCACCCAGGCTAGAGTGCGGTGGCATGATTATGGCTGACTGCAGCCTCAAACTCCCTGGCTCAAGCAATCCTTCCCCTCAGCTCCCCTAGCAGCTGGGACTACAGGCGTGCACTACCACACCTGGCAAATTTTGTGGAAACAGGGTCTCGCTATGTTGCCCATGCTGGTCTCCAACTACTGGCCTCAAGTGATCTTCTAGCCTTGGCCTCCCAGAGTGCTGGGATTACAGGCATGAGCCACTGCATCCCGTCAGTATTCATCTTTCAAAAACAAAACTGAGTCATCATTTGAAAATTTATAATCACTTAAAAATCTGGATTTTTGGCATCTCTTTAAAAATGACATGATCTGCCAACACTGGGCCTGTATATCTGTGTGGAAGTAACTGCTGGGGCTGAGCAATGGCTGTCTCCCTCTCTTTTTTTTTTTTTTAGAGACAGGGTCTTGCTATGTTGCCCAGTGGCTATTCACAGGTGCCATCCCACTACTGATCAGCACAGGAGTTTTGACCTGCTCCGTTTCTGACCGACCTGGGCCAGTTCACCCCTCCTTAGGCAAGCTGGTGGTTCCCGCTTCCGGGAGGTCACCATATTGATGCCGAACTTAGCGCGGACACCCGATCGGCATAGCACACTACAGCCCAGAACTCCTGGACTCAAGAGATCCTCCAGCCTCAGCCTCCCCAGTAGCTGGGACTACAGGCACGGGCCACCATGCCCGACATGGCTGTCTCTTAATAGGGTTGCTCACCAGCAGGGGCAGGGCTGGGGTCCAGCCCAGGTGTCCCTGAGTCCCCAACCTCAGCTGTCACTCAAGCTTCTACTTAAGTCTTGAAGATACCAGGGTCATGGCTGGGGACAGAGGCTCCGTCCCTGCACCCCCAGGAGAGACACTCACCCACAGCTTGGTAGAGGGCCAGGAAGCCCTTGTGGAGGTGGGCAGTCTTGTTCTCCATGGAAGGCTGTGTGCGGAAGGTCAGCCGCAAACTCCTCCCTGAGGATACAAACTCCCTCTGACCAGGGGGCCTGCCCAGAGGTGAGCCCTGCTGACCACAGAACTGGCTTGGATCCGACCCGCTGGCTGAGATCTGAAAGTGGGAGGGGGGCGAGGCTGCAGGCAGGTGTGGTGTGAATCTGCGCTGCTGGTGTCACGGGGACACAAGCCTCTCTGGGCTTAGAAGGCACCTCACAGAGGCTTCCTCCACTAGCTTCTGGTTCCATTGTTGACTCCTGAGTTTCTTCCAGACATAATCACATACTACAATGTTTCTTTAGCCTACCATAATTACTTCAAAAACCCACTATATTTTCCTTCTTTTAAGAAGTTCCTTGGGAACCCCAGGGTTCCCATAAGAGTCACTGGATTATAACTTGTAAGAAGGCAAGCACTACTTCTGACTTTCTCACCACTGAGTTCCTGATGCTCAGAATATTACCTATAGTACCACAGCTTTGACTCAATGAACACAGGCAGAAGCCCCTCCCATCCAGCTTCTCCATCCCCAAGCCCCGCCCCATCACCTTCCACTTGCTTCTCTGAATAACTTTCCGTGGCCAACATCTGTGAAGCAGTAAGATCCGCTGCAGAGACTGAGTCTCTGGGGTTCCTGCCTTTTCCTGCTTTCCTTCTTTTGGGATGCCCCTCCTCTTATCCCAGGGACTTTGTAAACGAAGCCCTCAAATGTATGAAAACCTGAGGACACAGGTGACCATAGTCCAGGTACACTGGATGATGATGATGATGATGATGATGGTAAGTTCTTAGGCAGGTTGTCTCTTTCAATGCCCTTTTGACTGTCTCACCTCTGCTCAAATCCCTTCCTGTGGGTTCCTCAAGTCAAAGAAGGGGAGGCCTGGAGGGAGTTCCTGGGCCATACTTCCTGCTTTATCTCTGTTCCAGGCACGTAGCTCACTGCTTGGCTCATTTTATATCTGGCTTTCACACTGATCCACATATCCTGGGTTTTTGCTAGCTCTCCATTCCCTCATTCTCCACAAATTCCAAATTCTTTCAAGACTTCATCCAGACCATGTCATTATGATCACAGAAACTGGGTAAAAGTTGCAATGAAGACAATTTCTCAATCACCCCAAATGCCTTGCTGAGCAAAAGAAAAACAATCACCACCCTTCCCACCAAAGAAAAACCCACTCCATGTAATTATTGACTCCTGGGAAACCCAAAAGTTGGAGAAGAAAGAAAATACAATTATCATATGCCATGTGCTCAGATGTGAACATTTTACAGTGATAATAGTGTAAATAATTAATAAAGATTTAACTAAAAATGATATAATATAGGTAAACTGGCAGAATGGGGAAAGGAAGAGTGGGTGGTGAAGACAGAAGACAGATAAAGCTAGTCCTTATCTTCTATACTGTAGTTACATGTTAATAGAAAACGTGTAAAAATGAAAGATAAATAAGCATGTTACTTCCACATATGAAGTTAAAGAGCAGATGAAGCAGCTACATGAAATGGAAAAAGACGGCCCCTGAGGAGCAGCACTCAGGGGTGTGGAGAAGCAGCTTGGAGACTGTGGTTATTCATAAGCCTTTTTAAAAACCTTTTTTTTTTTTTTTTTTTGAGTCAGTGTCTCACTCTGTCACCGAGGCTGGAGTGCAGTAATTAGAGCTCATTGCAGCCTCTACCTCCCAGGCTCAAGTGATCCTCTCACTTCAGTGTCCCTGATAGCAGGGACCACAGGTGTGTGCCACCACACTCGGCTAATTTTGAAATTTTTTTTGTAGAGATGGGGTCTTGCTATGTTGCCCATGCTGGTCTCAAATGATCCTTTCGCCTCAGCCTCCCAAAGTGCTGGGAATACAGACATGATCTACTGTGCCCAGCCTGAGAAAACTTTAATTAAAAAAAAAGAAAGTGTTACAACTATTATGCACCCATAATAATTAAAAATTTAAAAATAAAGTTCAGAAAATTATGTGCATGTCATTTTGTTATAAATAAAATTTAAATCAAAAGCTAATGTGGTCTTTATAGTTTTTTTTATTACTTATTTACTTATTTTTGAGATGGGGTCTTGCTATGTTCCTTAGGCTGGCCTTGAACTCCTGGGCTCCAGCCCTCTGTCTCCTGAGTAGCTGGGACTACAGGGCCTGCATCACTACATCAAGTACTGTTTTTAAAATGTCCTTATTCTGACTAAGGCTTTGGCCTTAGAAGGTTTGTGACAGCTCTTCTAAGGTGAGTGCAAATGGTGCCTTAATCTTTTGTTATTATTTGTGCCCAGCTTCCTCACGTGACAGAGCAGGCACTCAACAAATACATGTTTTGTGTTTTTTTTTTTGTTTGTTTGTTTGTTTGTTTTTTTTTGAGACGTTGTTTCACTCTTTTTGCCCAGGCTGGAGTGCGATGGCCTGATCTCCGCTCTCCACAACCTCGGCCTCCTGCATTCAAGTAATTCTCCTGCCTCAGTCTCTAGAGTAGCTGGGATTACAGGTGTGCCCCACCACACTCGGCTACTTTTGTATTTTTAGTAGAGACGGGGTTTCTCCATATTAGTCAGGCTGGTCTCGAACTCCTGACCTCATAATCTGCCCGCCTTGACCTCCCAAAGTGCTGGGATTACAGGTGTGAGCCACCGCGCCCCACCGTGATGACACCTTTTTAACAACCCATGTGAGAGTCCCTGCCCTGGCTCCATAGATTTGCAAAATTTGTGTGTCCTTTCATGAGTCTTCCAAATGCAGGGCCTACCTGCTGCCCTCTTTGCTCTGTGGGGCCCAGATGGTCCTGGAGGCGCTGGTGGGAGGCTGTGTCCCGGGGCCCACCATTGCTCCCCGGGTAAGCCGAGTCCCACTGCCCCTAAATGGAAAATTCATCCCTCCTCCCGATGGGTGATTCAGGGCACCGCCACTTCCCACAACTCCAGGAGTGTCCCTGGCCACAGTCCGGGCAGGACCCCCTCATCCCCAGCTCACTGTGACAGAGTCCCCTGCACAGTCCTGGGACGGCTCCAGGTCGAAGTCCTGGAAGACGAGCCTCACAGCAAAGCCCTCTGGAGCCTGGATGTCCGCGGTGTTCTCTTGGCCCTTGTGATACGGCTCTGGGTACCCAGGAGAAGTCAGCTGCTGGGGTAGCTGCTGGGCCAAGAGGTCGGAGCCCCGGGTGGGGCAAGCCTGGAGGACTCCCCAGAGGAGCAGCCACCACCTGGGAGTGGGGAGGGCAAGGTGGGGCCGCGCAGCTAAGGTCGGGAAGCCTGTGGGAGTGGGAGCAGCCGCTACCGCAGGGACTGAGGGGCCCGGGAAGGAAGGGCCAGGCCTCCCTGGTTCCCCTTTCTCACCGCAGTCCCCAGCGCTGTGGGTTTTCCTTCCTCCGAAGACATCACCTTTGCTCATATACCAGGAGAGCCTCATCCAAAGGAGGGGGCTGCCTTCTGCTTCAGCAGACCCACCCCACCCGCGATCCGAGGGCGCAACGGCGGGGCGAGGGAGGGTCCCCCGCAAATATGCGCCCAACACCCCCACCCCAGGGAAGGTGCCAGAGTCCACAGGCAAATTCCAGTTTCCCCATGGAATATCTGCTGTGCTGCTGCTGGTGGTGGTGGTGTGTGTCTGTGTGGTATGTGTGTGTGTGTGGTGTATGGGTGTGTGTGTCTGGGGTGTATGTGTGTGTATGTGTGGTGTGTGTATGTGTGGTGTATGTGTGTGTATGGTGTATGTGTGTACGTGTGGTGTATGGGTGTGTGTGTGTGGGGTGTATGTATGTGTGTATGTGTGTGTGTATGTGTGTGTATGTGGTGTATGTATGTGTGTATGTGTGTGTATGTGTGGGATGTGTGTGTATGTGTGGTGTGTGTATGTGTGGTGTATGTGTGTGTATGGTGTATGTGTGTACGTGTGGTGTATGGGTGTGTGTGTGGGGGGTGTATGTATGTGTGTATGTGTGTGTGTATGTGTGTGTATGTGGTGTATGTATGTGTGTATGTGTGTGTATGTGTGGGATGTGTGTGTATGTGTGGTGTGTGTATGTGTGGTACGGTGGGGGGAGGAGAGTCCGCGCCCACACCCCTCCTCCCTCCCTTTCCCCCTCCCCCCTCCCCTCACCCCCCGCCGTTCCCACGCTCACATCGCGCCCAGACCCTGCGGAGCGAGGGCGTCTCCGGCCGCGGTCCGCGCGCTCTGGTCCGGGCGTTCGGGGCCTGCGAGGGAACCGGCCCAGGTCAGGAACCGAAGGTGACGGCCCCGTGGTGGGGGGGGGGGGTTCCCGGAAACGCGCCGAGCAGCTCCGCGGTTCCCCTTCCTCACCCTCCGGGCTCGGCGCCACCTGCCGTCGGACTCGGGAACAGCGGCCCCCGCCGCCTGGGGGAAGCACGTCCGAAGACCTCGCCGGCCCTCCGAGGTTAGGTGGGAGGGCGCCGACGCAACTCTTTTTTTTTCGATTTTATTTTAAAGAGACGGGGTCTTGCTATGTTGCCCAGGCTGGAGTGCAGTGGCTGTTCACAGGCGCGATCCCACTACTGCTCCGCACCGGTGTTTTGACCTGCTCCGTTTCCGACCTGGGCCGGGTCACACCTCCTTAGGCAACCTGGGGGTCCCGGGAGGTCACCCTATTGATGCCTGGCTCAGTGCGGACACCCGATCGGCACAGCGCCCTGCAGCCCAGAACCCCTGCGCCCGAGCGATGCTCCCACCTCAGCCTCGGGAGTCGCTGGGACTGAAGGCACGCGCCACCGCGCCCGGCTCCTCTTCTGTGCTGTTTAACATCAATGTCTGCCGTGTGTGTAGGACGGCTCCCTGTGAGTCATGGCTGCTGCCTTCAGCCAGTCATGCCTCTCCCTCTTCCACCTTCCCATGCACCGACGTTACCTGAGGAGCCTCTCTCCTGCGGAGTTGAAGCTTTGGATTCTCGAGCTTGCACTTTCTCTTCCTCTCCTTCCTCACCAAGCATGGGTGGGGACCTGTGCTTACCTGATCTTCTGAATCTACCCCCAACCTCCGGACGCTGCTTGTCCAGCAAGGTCAGGGCTGGGGTCGAGCCCAGGTGTCCCTCAGTCCCCAGTCACCACTCAAGTCATCACTCAAACTTCTTTAGGCAAATGCTAGAGGCCATGTTTGCTCTCACTGCTCCCCCAGGAAGGACACTCACCCACAGCTGAGTGGAGGCCAGGAAGCCCTTGTGGAGGTGGGTGGTCCTGTCCTCAGAGGAGGCAGGTGTGTGGAAGGTCTTACGCTGTGCGCACACACACGCACACACACACACACACCCCTTTCAGAGAAGAATGTATTGCTTCCTCCATGCTGCATTTTGCATGTAGTAATCTGGCTCCTGACAATTGCAGCAAGTTACAGACCTAAACAGGGTACGTTCTGGATCTTTGGTTTTTCTAGACTACAGAGATTCAGTAGAGCCACAGTTCATGGCTAACGAGGAGATGATAAGAGAGTGATGGCCAGGATGGATGCAATGCCTCAGGTACAGCCTTGAGATCAAGCTTTCCCTGTCTGCCAAAGCCCAGCCCCAACTACACCTGGGGATGGTCTCCCATATCCATCTTTTGACGCATGGGCCCCTCTGACGAGAACTTCTCTCCTCCCCTGAGACCACTGAAGCCTGCCCTCTCCTAGAACTCTTGGGGTCACCTGGAGCACCTTGGGAGCCAGAGATGCAGCCAAAGAGTGAACAATGGCACCATCCCAGGACCCATGTGTTAGGAAGAAACCAGCCAAGGCTCAGATCAGGACTGGGTAGTCCACCCCTCATTTCCCTTCAGAGCATTCTTTCTTTCTTTCTTTTTTTGAGACGGAGTTTTGCTCTGTAGCCCAGGCTGGAGTGTAGTGGCGTGATTTCGGCTCACTGCAACCTCCACCTCTCTGGTCCCAGTTCAAGAAATTCTCCTGCTTCAGCCTCCGGAGAAGCTGGGATTACAGGCACGAGCCACGATGCCCAGCTAATATTTTTGTATTTTTAGTAGAGACAGGGTTTCACCATGTTGGCCAAGCTGGTCTTGAGCTCCTGACCTCGTGATCTACCCGCCTCGGCCTCTCAAAGTGCTGGGATTACAGGCATGAGCCACTGCACCCTGCCAGAGCATTATTTCCTTGTTCGCTAAGAGGAGCAGGAACTGGAAAACCCAGGACAGCCCATCTGAGAAGACTTTCTTGGAGATGAGCTGGAGGAGGGAGGAGGACGATCATCTCCGTAGTTACCCCCCATATGAGAGCTTTGGAAAGAGCATCCAGGACAGGTAGCATGACCGACTGTTTTGATTTTGCATGGGACTGAGGGGTTTCCCAGGACATGAGGCTTTCAGTTTTATTTATTTATTTATTTTTTAAATTAAATAGAGACAGGGTTTCACCATGTTGGCCAGGCTGATCTCAAACTCCTGACCTCAAGTGATCCAAAGTGCTGGGATTACAGGCATGAGCCACCGTGTCCGGCCTATGCTTTCGTTTTTTGTTTTTTGTTTTTGTTTTTGTTTTTAACTTGTATCACAAAGACTTTATTTACAGGTCCATCTCATTTTACGTGTGGCAGCATAAAATAAAGGACCAGATCGTGACACACCATTTCCGTCTCAAGTGGTTGAATCCAACATCCAAAACCCAGCAAGCAGCCAAACTCAGCGCAACCTCCGGGCCTCTCTCTCGGACTCCAACAGGGTAAGCAAGTCACCCTCGCGCACGGGGCCTTTTACGTTGCGGATGATGGAGCGGCTCGTGCCGTCCGTAAATTCCACGCGCACCTGCGTGCACTGTTCCTGAGAACCGGTCCTGCCCAGGACTTTGGTGACCCTGGCCAACTTGATAGGCTGCACACGGCTGGTATCCATAATGACGGCTCGGCAGCGGTCTGGCGGAGAGTGCTTTCGGTTTTAAAATGAGAGAAGTTCTGGGCAAGCCAGGACTGGTGGTCACCCCAAATGGATAAAGGGAAAGTGCTGGAGGGAGGCTGGGTGGGAGAGAGGACAGGGAGGCTGTGACACACCTGTGGTCCCAGGTGACCGGGCAGTTCAGGCCTGGATGTGTTTTGGGGAATCCAGCACTCTGAGTATGAGGGCCCACCTTGGTCCCACCTAGGCGGCGTGGCTGCAGCGTGAGCTGGAGTCACGGGCAAGGGGAGGAATGGTTTGTGATGCGGGACTGGAGGAGGGAGGAGTTGCTGGCTCCGTGCACAGCTGGTCGCTGCAGGCCCTATGGGCTGGGGCTGAGCTGTGCCCCGCTGTGGTCCCCTAAACTGGGACCTCGTGTCTAGCTGGCAAAGTGGTCAATAAAAAAAAAAAAAGGGCATGCCTTAGCGCATCATAGTCAAACTACTAAAAGCTGAAGACAAAGAGAAAATATATTCTTTTTCTATGAATCCCATCCTAAAGAACAATGTTTTCAGTCACTGTTTTCTCATCAAAAACTGTATAGACCAGAGACGAATAGCTTTAAAATGCTGAGGGAAAAAAATGTCAACTCAGACTTGTTTTTCTAGTAAAAGTATTCTTCCAGAATGAAGATGAAATAAAGCTATTTGCAGATAAAAGAAAACAGTGATTTTTTGTTACCGGTAGACCTCCCCTGTGAGAAGCGCTGAAGAAAGCTCTTTAGGACGGGTACGACGGTTCACACTTATAATCCCAGCACTTTGGGAGGCCAAGGCGGGAGGATTGCTCGAGCCCGGAAGATGGAGGCTGCAGTGAGCCATGATGGTGCCACTGCACTCCAGCTTGGGTGACAGAGTGCGACCCTGTCTCAAAAAAAAAAAAAAAAAAAAAAAAAAAAGTTCTTCAGAGGGAAGCGAAATGAAACCAGCTAGAAGAGCCAAGCTGCAGGCTGGATTAAAAAGAATGGTCAGCCAGGCGCGGTGGCTCAGGCCTGTAATCCCAGCACTTTGGGAGGCTGAGGCGGGCGGATTACAAGGTCAAGAGATCGAGACCATCCTGGTCAACATGGTGAAACCCCGTCTCTACTAAAAATACAAAAAACTAGCTGGGTATGGTGGCACGTGCCTGTAATCCCAGCTACTCAGGAGGTTGAGGCAGGAGAATTGCCTGAACCCAGGAGGCGGAGGTTGCGGTGAGCCGAGATCGCGCCATTGCACTCCAGCCTGGGTAACAAGAGCGAAACTCCGTCTCAAAAAAAAAAAAAAGAAAAAAAAAGAATGGTCAATTTGAAGGTAAATATAAAATACAATTTTCTTTTGATGTCCTTAAAATGTGTAAATCTGTTTCAGGCAAAAATTATAACATTGTATTGTGAGGTTTATAACATATGTAGATGTAACATATATGAAGACTATAGTAGAAAGCGGGGGTCCCCAACCCTGGGCCATGGACGGGTATTCCAGTACCCGTGAGTGGTGAGTGGTGAGTGAGCAAGCAAGGCTTCCTCTGTATTTGCAGCTGCTCCCCATCAATGGCGTTACCACCTGAGCTCCGCCTCCTGTCAGAGCAGCATCAGCATTAGATTCTCACAGGACACGAACTGTGCTGTGAACTGTGCATGTGAGGCATCGAGGTTGTGCGCTCCTTGTGAGAATCTAATGCCTGGTCATCTGTCACCGTCTCCCATTACTCCCAGATGGGACCATCTAGTTGCAGGAAGACCCGCTCAGGGCTCTCGATTCTACATTATGGTGAGTTGTATAATTATTAATATTTCATTATATTTTACAATAATAATAGAAACAAAACACCCAATAAATGCAATGTGCTTGAATCATCCTGAAACCATCTCCCTCTGGCCCCCATCCTGGTTTGTGGGAAAATGGTCTTCCATGAAATGAGTCCCTTTGTGCCAAAAAGGGTGGGGACTGCTGGTGGGTCTCCCCCGGTGGTCGGGGAAGACCCAGAGTCCCTAAGATCCTTTCACGGGGTCTGTGAGGTGATAAAATGACTTTCACAACAATACTCAATGTTATTGCGTTTCCCCCCTCATTCTCTCACAGTGTAAGTGGACTTACAGAGGCTACGTGATGCACGATGATTCATCTACAGCAACAAATGGGAGGTGTGGGGTGCAGAGTTTGCAAACGGTTGCCCCAGGCTGACCACCAGGAGGAAAAAAGGCAAAGAAGTATAGCTGAAAGGCCGATGTAGAAATGACAATGGATGTCTGAATTTGGGGGCACTTATTTCTAATAGAATAACCTATTAGAAATCATCATCCTGGTTTGTCAAGGACTGAGGGTTTCCTAGGACGTGACCTTTTCAACACGAAAACCCGTGAAGTTCCCTGGCACACCAGGACAGTCGGTCACCTTGTTTCTAATGCTTCAATCATTAACTTCGACTCATTTTCCCTTACCCAGGTGTGAATCCCTAAAGAGCACGGGCCGATTCTGCTCTGTGTTAAGGCCCTCAAATGCAGCTGGCATGCTAAGTAAAGGAGGCAAGCTACCAAATTGTAAGGATACCATGTTTACAAATACAGAAAGCACTTGCAAGAAAAATCTAAAATAACTGCTTCCTATTAGAGTATGGGGTGGTGAATGATTTAAACTATATTTCTCTGTTTAGTAAAACTTCTATAATATTATTTGATAACTTTAATAGTTACAAAATAAATGTATCTGAAATTATAATCGTGACCAAATGGTCCTTTCTAAGCCCGACAGGATTAGAGAATGAGGTGATGGATCCTTAGGCATCTTTAATCCACATGATTAATGAAGAAGTTTTTGTCCTTAGATATCAACGTAGGCCAGGCCTGGATCTTTTCCATCTTAGAGAGCTGGGCAAACAGGGTTGGGGTGCTCCAGTGACTGTTTTTGGTTTTCGTTTTGAAAATCGTGTTGGTGCTGCCCCCTACTGTCCCGAAAGGGGACAGGCAGTACAACAGAAAGTGCCTTGGGGCTTTCTGGCCAGTTTCTCTGCAGCCTTCATCAGCCTCCAGCGTTTAGAGAGGAGCTTGCCCTCTCTTGGAACTCAGACAGCCACAGGAGAGCCCAGGCAGAGGAGGCTGGGGCAGCAGGAGCCATTCCTGTCCACAGCTTCCCTGTCTTATCTCTAGATCCCTTGCCCTGGGCTGGGACACATGTGCCGGCCTCCGGGTGTGGAGGGAGATACAGGAGCGAGGTGAAGAGCGGCAGGGGTGATGAGGAGGCCGAGTCAGCCAGGCTGGGACCCTGTGCTTCTGTCTTGCATGGCCAGTGGAGATGCGGACATCGCAGGGCAAAGGGGTGATCCTGATGAGACTATGGTTTGTCCTGCACACTCCACCCCCTCAAGTTGTCTCAGGCTTACAAGTCAGGGCTTTGACTTCTATGCCTTAGGGACACCTGGCCAGTGGCTAGCGCAGCCCCAGAGGAGTGTCAGCCACTAGGCTTCGCCCTTAAGCCCACTCTCCCTACTCTGCTAGTATCTAAAATCTCAATCAGTCATGCCCCTTCCCAGCTTAAAACTTGTCAATGACGGCGCCTCCTGATCCACGAGACGAAGCCCCAGCCAGTTGCTTGTGTGGTAGTTTCTTCCTTCATCGTCGGGCTCTGTGTGGCTTTCTGGCCTCGCTCTCCACTGCTCCAGCCTTGCATGTGAGTTCCCATCACGGTCATGATTTTATGGCTTGCGTTCGCGTGTGTGACTCCCTTACTAATGACATATTCTTCAGTCATCAGGGTATCATGCTGATGAAAGGGGCAGGCTCCTGTGCCAGACTCAGCAGGTTTAAGCCCAGGCTCTACCACTGAGCAGGGTAGATTTGGTGACCAGGGCCAGATTGTGTAATTTCTCTGTGCCTCTAAACATCCTCATCTGAAGAACAAGGATGAGGACAATGGTACCCACACCAGAGATTTGTTGTGAGGGTTAAATGAGTCAATAGCCAACATTGCTTAGGACGGTGTCTGGCATTTGGCAAACAAGCAATATCATTACTTGCTCAGGAAGGCAGACTGTCACAGCAGAATGGTTAGGTCACTGCTTCTCAACAAGGAGCAGTTTTGCTCCCCAGGGGATATTTGACAGTAGCTAGAGACGGTTTTTTCATTGCCGGCATCTGGTGGGTAGAGACCAGCGATGCTGCTAAGCACCCTACAATGGACAAGGTGGCCCCTCCCGCAACACAATGTTATCTGGCCACCAGTGTCAATAGCGGCGAGGTTGAGAAACTGAGGGTTGAGTAGTCAGGCTCCAGTCTGTCTGTGTTCAAATCCCACCTCTGCCTTTGTATAACCTTTGGCAAATTACTTAAATTCTCTGTTCCTTAGTTTTCTTAACTGTAGAATGGGGACAATAACATGCGCTTGGGTTCTTGAGAGGAGTCAGTGGCTGGTGTGTAGTAATCATGCCTTGGAGGCCGGCCATGTTTACTTCCCTCTCCCCCGGGTCCTCTCCTCTGGGAAGCCCTCTTTGACTCAGAGAGATCACTTCCCGGTGCTCTTGAACTCTCGATGCATGATAACCTCCTGCTGCATGTCTGTCTTTCCCACAGGGCTGTGGGCTCCTTGAGGGAGGGACTTTGTCCTGCAGCTTGCAGCAGCCCGTGGGATGCACATGTGTAGGCGCCCACCTGTGTCTGTGGGGTGAGTTCCTGGGATGGGGCAGATTAGAGAGCATGCACCAGGTTTTGGAGTTCCCAAGGTGTGCAGGGAGGAAGAGAAGCAGGTGGTAGACAGGTGCATCTGGGAACTGGGGTTGGGTTAGAGGTTGAGGGTCTGAACACAGCCCTGTCCCGTTTACTATTCCCTAGTGAGAAGTCTGATCATTGCCATGTGGCCACGCTCCTCACTGTTGGTGCCTGGTTGTAGAGAGCAGCTCTGTGAGTGGAAGAAGGCGCCTGCCCTGGAGAGCGCCTGGCTGGTCCTCACCTGGGGCCTATCATTTAGTAACAGGGCTTTTGGAAGTGGTAGCAGATCTGGGCCTGCTGGGCATT